GGATCACCATATTGTATTTGATATTTAAACATGTAACACATACAATCATGTAAACTTTTCAAATATATTTTATATTATGGTGGTGTGTACTTTCTTTACTATTCAATTGTTATGATACTGTACATGACGTCCTCCGCCTCTGAACGTTTCCGCCGTTCAGGTTTGGGGGTGTGACAAGTTGACCTCATACGCTCGGCGTATGCAGAGGTACACACGACGTACGCACCGAAGTCACACTTTCCATATTAAGAGCTTAATACTTCGACTTATTACGTCCAAATGCAGATCCAAGGCCGAAATACAACTAAGAGTCATAAAGTTTCCAACTGTATGACTTTGCATACCTAATAAGTGCTTAATGCACAAAATCCCAACTTCTTAACACCTTAATGTTGGATTAGGTGTCTAAGCTCATAACTATATTTGGTGTGTACTTGATTTGATGAAAGAGAGAGTAAGATTTATTATATGAATAATAAATTGGTACTCAGAATAATTTTATTAATATATTATAAGATTAATATATTATTTGGAAATCATATTATTAATTAGTAATTAATCAGAAATTAATTTAATGTTAATTTTGGAATTAAAAGGAACTGATTAATAATGGAGGGGTTGTTTTGCAAATTGTTGATAGTTGTGAAACCGGGCTTAGGACTCCTTGTAAGTGGAGTGGACAAAATTTATGGATTACCCCATAAGATTTCGTCCAAGGGCTTACCATGGAGGTCCATGGGTTGCTTTGGGATTAAGTTAGGAACTAGGGTTTCCTTATTCAAGTCCAGCTTAAAGGTTAAGCAACCTAGCCATATATAAACCTCCTGGACCCTAAGGATTTTAGCCCCCATGTGATTCTAAGAGGACCTGGTCGACTTCATCATCTCTCCAAGTCATCCTTGTTGTGTTGAGTGTTTGTGACTCCATTAGAGGTGCAACACTTGGGGCACTAAGCTTTCAAGAGTCAAGGATTGTTCTTGTTATTACAATATAACAAGTGAGGTAATCTTCCAACCCTTTTATATATATGAATTTCGAAATTATGTATGATAGATCTACGGTTTTGCTTTGGATAATTGATTTGCATGTATAAATTGAGAAAAACCTAGATCCAAAGCATTAGGGTTGCATGTGCACCATAGGAATGTCGTAATGCTCAAAACCCATCACTTAAGACCTTCTAAAGCATGCATAGGGAAAAACTAAGCATCAAGACCACATTTTTATGACTCAAGACCCCTCATTAGGTCCGAAAGGACGACTTATTCGATTAAGAGCATGCCATGCTCAAGAATCATCATAGTTGAGACCAAAAATGCCATAAATGAAGAAATGGCTAGATCTACAAGATAAGATGATCAAGCAAGGATCTTTTTACCTCCTGGAGGTTGCTAGCAAGGAGAAAATCCTAGATCTAAGTTGCTTCCAAGCTTCAAGGTCTTCCTACCACCACCTTATTCTTCTTCAAGAATGTCACCAAAACACAAAGATGAGCTCAAGATGCACTCTTCTCACTTAGGGTTAACTAGAGGGATGTTTTTTCAGGTGGAGGCTGATGAGGGAATGAGAAATGAGGTGATAATGATGCTTATATATGGACCAAACCCTAAAAATTAGGGTTTGAGGTTTTATCACGTACACCCTGCGTACGCGGTGTACGCCCAGCGTACTAGGGTCCACCCCAGTACGCCCAACGTATTAACACTTTGGCTAAATCACCAAAATGCCACTATGGGTCATTTTTGCAATCTTTCCAAAGCACAATGGTCTAAACGCAATATTCCTTCATACATATGGTTAAAATTGAAAATACCTCATCATCGAGATGTTACACTCTCAAACGCATTCTTCGTTACCTTCGTGGTACTCTAGATCATGACCTATAGTTATATGCCTCTTCTGCATCTACTCTCACAACTTACTCTGATGTTGATTGGTGCGGATGCCCTACGACCCGTCAATCCACATCAGGCTGCTACGTTTTTATCGGTGATAACCTAGTCTCCTGGTCTTCGAAGTAACAAAACACGGTATCACGGTCCAGTGCCGAAGCAGAATATCGGGGTCTAGCAAATGTTGTAGCGGAGACGACTTGGCTCTGCAACCTTCTCTGAGAACTTCACTCGTCTCCGCGCTCGGCTACACTTGTCTACTACGACAACATCAGTGCCATATACATGTCTGGAAACCCGGTTCAACATCAACGTACCAAACACATAAAGATCGACATCCAATTTGTCCGGGACAAAGTCGTTATCGGTCACGTTTGTGTTCTTCATGTTCCCTCTCGATTTCAATACACATACATCTTCACCAAGGGGCTTCCATTTCCACTTTTCTCGGAGTTTCGCTACAGTTTAAGCATCTGTCCTCCTCCCGTTCAAATTGTGGGGGCATATTAGTGTACATTGTATAAGTATTATACCTTGTCTAGCCCATTATGTACTTGTGTTGTATATTCGGCCCCTCTTGAGGATGACCCATCACTTTGCATATTTATACCCTTTACTGTTAATGGAAGGAGACATGGAATTATCCCACTATTATCATCATCCTCTATAAAAGAAACCCTAATCGAATTCTACCTTAGCCGCTCCATAAACCCTGTCATTTCCACCGCCACCATGTCATCACTACCACCATCACCAGTTACTACCTATGACCACCACCACCGTCATCACCATCCCCGCTAATAACATCATAATGCACAGTGCCTTGACGCCACCGTCCTTAAACATATCACTGATTTTCTTCTCTGTAGGGCTTCTGATACCACGAACCACTAGAAATCTTTAACCCGTGTCAGACAAACTCACCGCATCACTAATGTTTTGATTGTTCTCCGGTCCTCGCAAATGCTACTCATGCCGTGGCTTGACCATCTCTCTCTCTCTCTCTCCCTCTCTCTCTCTCTCTCTCTCTCTCTCTCTCTATATATATATATATATATATATATATATATATATATATATATATATATATATATATCTCATACTTTTATCCTCTATAAATTCCTATTAAACTTTAAACATTTTTACACCACCATCTATTTTATTCTCTATTTATTTTAACCTACATTTTCTTTTTCATATTATCACCTTAAATGGACCCAAATGGTTTCCCGTTTGCTCCACCCCAACCATGGGAGTAAGAACAAGGAAATCGCATTGGTTTATGTTTGGATCTACGTTTTGGAGGAGAATCGAGCCAATAACTTGCAAAGTTTTTGAAAATTTGGAGCCGTATTATCGATCTTTTCACAATGAAATAGTCTTGAACCCTATCAGACACTCCACGAACTCAACGTTAAGTGGAGTGATTTTTACCAAAAGGTGTCATGTTAAATGACATCTACAATACTACAACACAATTGTTAATGGACGTAGGAACTAGGAATGCTAATGAAATTGACATTTTGGAGGTGGGTACTGAGCAATACCAAATGAAAAATAATGGGACGACCTTTGCCCATAAAACCATAAAACCGTTTGGGATGTTTTTAAAACATAATTTTTTTTATCGATGCTTTTATTAAATAATTCTTTGTAATGTTATAGTTACAATCAGTATAACTTTTTTGAAAATAAAAATAAAAATAGTTACAATCAGTATAAAACATAGCCATCGGTAGTTACACTTACTACACAAGGTACAACACCAGTAATGCTATATAACCCACGTACAATTGCACATGTAAACAAGTATATATATATAATATATTAACACCCAAAAAACTAATCAGCATCAGCACTAAAATCAGGTTCAGGGGGTTTCGGTAAATTGACCAATTCCCTCCTCATATTCAGATTCCGCTCCCTGTCCCCATCCCGATTCCGATTCCGGTGAACCCCACGAACAGCATTCGTTGCAAACTTCGACACCAAGAACGTAACACCAAGGCTGCGAGAACCTCCATCACCATCACCACCACCATCCAATTCCACCTCTTCTTCCTCCTTCCGCCGGAGCATCTTCCGCCTGCAATACCGCCGCCAAGCCGCCTGAATAAAACACGCCGCCCAAGTCCGCCACTGCTGTGAATAAAATCTGAAAGTATGCTGCACCTGTCTACTGTGTAGCCGCCTAAACTGGCCAGCAACAAATTTCAACTCATCAGCCTTTAACGCAAACGCCTCCACCTCCCTCAAGGCCATTACAGTTCTAGTTGAAGAAGGAAGGTTTGAACCAGATTTCGGATCGAGTGCCCATGTCAAAAGCTCCTCCCCACAAAAGTCTCCTTCTTTCAATAAACTCCGGTTGAAAAATCCAGTTCTCCCTCCATCAGTTGTTACACTCTCGAGGCGACCTCGGATTATGAACAACATTTCATCAACAGGGTCACCTTCTCTTACAATGTAAGTGTTATCGGTGCATAAACATGGTTTTAATCGTTCACAAATCGCATCCAACAATCTCTCGTCCATGTCCTCAAACAAAGGAACCTGTAAAGAAAGAATCATGTAAACTGTAGGTTTGTTTAGTGTTGTTGTAAAAAGCAAAATGTGTGGTGAAAGTTATTAATTACCCTTTTGACCAAAGAGAGACAAAGATGACGCTTTATGTCGCGTCTCAAATCCTTGGGTAAACTCAGAACCAAATTTTCTTCATCCACTCCACGAGTTTCTAACCACTTGTACTGATCGTAACGTCTTACACGCTCACGAAGATCTTGCGGAAGTAACCGGTGATGCATCCACTGCTCCGAGTCACGTCTCTTAACTCTCATTTCTTCAAGACGAATAGTAAGAGATTGAAGGTATGTCTAAAAAACCAAAACAATCATGTCAATCTCACTTCAAACACCTCAATTACATTTCCATTTTGTGGGTCCTATTTATGACATGACATAACAGATTATATAGTGTTGTGTTTAAATAATCCTGTGTTGTGTGGGCATGTATTGGACTAAGACTGATGTCAATGAAACAAAAAATTTCAGTTTCTTCACCTAACCTGCATGTTGCCTATCAAGAGGGCAAAGAGAATGAGCCCTGAAATTGCTAGTGTAATCGAAAATATAGACTCTCCGGGATACGTGCTCGTTTGAAGCCCTTGGCCGAGAGTACTGTAACAAAAAGAAAAATATTATTAGACCGTAATTCCTTCTAGGGCTATATTTTGATGATGAGGATGAGGAGGACATTAACGTCTTTTATACAAGCGACATTTACATCAGTCTCAGTCTAATATAACAAATCAATTAACCTCAAATTTTGCAGGCCCCACCACAAGCAGTACAAGTACTTTGATACAAACTTATTTGACGAAACGATGCCCGAAGACAAAGCCTGCCCGAAAATCCCAAAATCAAACGGCGGATTATCGCCATCTGGCGTGCAAGCTTCGGTTAATACTGAGTTACTGATACTGCTCCAGTTGTTGTACCCTGGCACGTGGTTGTTTCCACAATACAACAAATTTACATCATGACCACTTCGTTCACAAGCCATTTGCCAACATGTATCATTTCGCTCTACTGACAATATGTACCAAAAGGCCCCAACTATCTGTAGAAAAATAAACATAATTATTATTTTTACTTAATCTGAAAAGCTATATATGAGTGTTTCTTTTTTACTAAAATGACGCTTTCTCCATTAAATCTTAACTTATTACAAATTGTGCGTAATTATTTTTTTTTCTTTCCATTTTCCAAAGTTTGCGATGATTTTTTTCATATATTTTTTAAACATTAGACAACACTTACGTGACTAGCGAGCATGTACAACAACAAATAATAAGCAGCACCAGCCCATGTAGTTTCAGCAATGACACCAGCAGTCCTTTTTAATTCAGAAGTCAAAGGTACAATTCGTGCAAATCTTGGGATATATTGAAGTAACACAATAAAAAATAGTGATTGTTTTGTAGAGAGTACATCTGCACCTTTAGACCCATGTAGATATTTCCAAATAATAATCTGCAAAATTGTAAAACACAAAACAATTAGATGTTTTAAGTTGTGAAATTGAGATAAGGTCATAAAATAGCAATGTAATTTTCAGTATGTCCCACGTAGGTTGCTATGCCTAGTCTATCAAAAAGTGTCCCAACTTTTCAAAAAGTACCTTTGCTATTTTACGACCTTATATGCTAAGTTAATAACTTTTCAACCAAATCTTAGCTTATCTAATTCTAACCTGTGGTAGGGGCAAGATAGCAAGAAAATCAATAATAAAATACCACTTCAAGTATCTTTTAGCTATTTGTGTAGGATCTATCACAAGTTCACCCCTTCCAAAAACTCGAGATGAAGGAGCAATGAAAGCAGTTCTAAATTGAAGAGCCATGTGAATAAGATAAAAAGAATCAACAAAGGTTCGAATCGTTGTAGCTATAATAGCTAAATTTTGGTCTATACCAAGGCAAGTTTTAGACTGATCAAAAACCGGAAGATAGAAAAAAAGTGGGTCCAATGATACGGCTAAAATACAAGAAACAACAAAGAATTTGTTCCATGTTAGAAGGAATTTATCTTGAGGGTCAAAGATCTTTTTCTCTGAGACTTTAAGATCTTCAGCAAATATAGCACGAGTTACACCGAGTTTAAGTGATTGGCCTATTGATTTAAGTCCTTTGAATCCATGTTTGTTTATGGCAAGTGAGGAAGCGGGTGATGATGATGATCTTGAATCTAGATCATCCAACCTGTGAATATAGATGTAAATAACAATGATGATCTTGAATTTGATTTTGATTCGTAATATACTTGAGAAAAATGATTACCTCATGAAATGAGGCTTTGAACTACATTTGAACATTTTTACTAATGTTAACACATAAATCCAACTGTACAACATAAAACAGTGTTAGGGAACTACTAGTATCCAGGTTTTGAATCCATTTAAGGATTTGTGTCTGATGTTTAAAAAATATCTGAAAAAGTGAGGAAATTGAATGAAATAATAAATGAGGGAATCTTGTAAAAAGTCAGTTGTTTCTAATAAAACAACTATATGAGATGACTAATTTCTAATAAGAAACAGGGGAAAGAACAATGTGACGAAAATTTCAACAGTTATTACAGATTAATGTTGTTTAGTTGAGTTTTCTTTGAAATTGATGAAAAAATTTAGTATAAACGTCAATTTGTCGATTTTAACCCAGTTCGTTCATTATCAAACTCGTTAAAATTCGGTACATTCACACAAGATCATTATGTTCGGGCTAATGCATGTCAATTAACTTCAAAAAGAAACGCGAAAGAATCATCACAAAGTGAAACCCAAAACTAGAAACAAATCTGACCCAGATTATTTGTTTGAAAACTATCCAAATCAAAAACTGTAATCTGTTACATGAACATGTAAAGAGTAATTAGAAACATTAGTGGAAATTGAACTTACAGTTGAAAAAAGTCCGCCGAACTATAACATCGGCATCGTTGGAGTTAAATTCGGAGACGATTTAGAGAAGTTATGGTGCAAAAGAGGCGAAAAAAGCGATCGAGGAATCGGGGTTACAAAGAAATGGTGGAAAGTATTTTCTCTTTTGGCAAGTGAGATGTATAAAGGAATCGAACTTCAGATTTAATTTGTTTCGATTGACGTTGTATTGTTTTGAACCACCGCCCAAGTATGCTCTTTTTCAAGATTTTTTTTAATGTTTATATTATATTAGTTATTAAATCAAGTAAGTTACAGAGATGGTCCATATCGTCTTTGAAAAGTTATAGATTTAGTCCAAAGGTTTCATTTGCACTCAAAGTTTTTTTTTTATTTTTTTCCACATATTGATCCCTTAGGCTAATACCCGTTCGTTCTCTCTCTCTCTCTCTAGCCAATTAGAAAGAAACTAAGAAAAGAAGAGACACTCTGGAACAATTTTTCTACTTTAATTCTTGAACTCAAACATATGATTACATTCAAATAAATATGCTTCTAAACTTCATGCAACAAATAAACAGGAGAAAAGAATGGGAACATGACCTACTCCACTATTGGCAAACATGCTAATTAATATTAAGGAAACACGCATGCAAAATGAAAGGTGAGTTCCTAATAAAATGCAACAAGCTACTCTTTGACTAAATAGAAGGAAACATGGCTGAAGAAAATAGGCTAAATAGGTTCGTATCAATACTCGTGCTCTAAAAAATGGCCTTGTCCTCAAGGCCGAGATTGTATTGTGTGTTGAAGGTCCACGGTGGTTCGGTTTCGGATTGAAGAAGGAGGAATTTGAGTGGGTTGCATTGATGACCCGGTTGGTATTTAGCAAAGACCTCCGGAACGTCGTTTCTGCATCTTGGTGGGGCTTAACCGTTTGATTGGAAGTGTTGTGGGAAGTGGTGGAGGGGTGGGCAATAATGATGGTCCATATGGTCTTTGAAAAGTTATAGATTTAGTCCAAAGGTTTCATTTATTGCACTCAAAGATACTTTTTTTTTTCTTTCACATATTGGTCCCTTAGGCTAATGCCCGTTTGTGCCTTCAAGTCAAGTCTTGTCATGTGTGTTGGGACTTTTTATTTATTTATCTATTTATTTTTTTAAAACGATAAATCTAACCTACTCCTAAACTATTCCTTAAATCCATCTATGTCCACGAATGGACTTAAACTCAAAACCTCAAGGAGGGAGGGCAACACCGGATACCGCTGGGCTACAATTGTCCTCCTCTATCTCTCTTTCTCTAGCTATATATATATATATATATATATATATATATATATATATATATATATAGAAAATGCATAAACCTAAAAAAACCCTAAAAATGTACTAAAAAAATACTTTGAGATATTTAATCTTTTTTTTTACTTTACAAACATAAAAATCGCTACTTTTAAAAAAAACATCAGAAAAAATAAAAAATAAAAATTTTTATTATAAATTTTTTTTCAAATTTTTTTTTTCAGTCAATTTGTTCCAAAACCTACGATTTTTAGCGCTATAAACTCAAAAAAAGATTAGATTGTAACATCCTGTTTCAGATCGTCTGTGATTTAGGGTTCGTGCGCTACAACCCAGGCATGAGGAAGCCTTGAGACTACGATGAGTTACTAGAAGCGTAGGGCTTCTCGCGACCTTTCCGTGGATATGAGGTTCGTTGGAAACAAACTTATAACGAAGAAGCTATGATAGTTTGAAGTTTTGGCAAGTTTAATCCTTATTGAGAAATGGGTGGCAAATGAGTACGCAGGGCGTAAGTATGTGTACGCTCAACGTACTTATGTGTGTAGCATGGACGCGAAGACCACGTAGTACGATGGGCGTACCAGAGGGTACGCTGGGCGTACTAGGCAGAGAATGTAAACCCTAATATTTTGAGGTGACCCTATTTAAGGAACATGATGACCTCATTTTCAGCCACCATTTCCAGCCTACAACTCCTCTCAAAACCCTAATCTCGTTTCCATGGCTTGTGTGAGTGTTGTGGCTCATTTGAGTGTTTTTGGTGAAGCTCTTAGTGAAGAAGGAGTCTTGAAAGAGGATAGCTTGTGCTTCTAGCTTGTGGATCTGAGTTCTACCCTTGTTGGTGCATCTTCCAGAGGTATAAAGTTCGAAACTTGCTCATTGTTGTTCTAGTTCTTGTTTTGGGTCCATTTTTAGGGTTTTATGTCCCAAAGATTGGAACTTTGTGAGTTTGGTGAACTCCATAGCAAATCTCCCGTCCTTTTAAGTGTATTGGGTTGCCTTGATTCATAAAAATGAGAACTTGGTCGTCTAGACTTCTTCATG